CCCTCCTCCTCCCCTCCCCCCCTTCCTCGGACAACAGAAAGCTCATCATTACTAAGCTGAGACCAAAGCCCCTCGTCACCTCGGCATTCGCCAACCCCCGCTCTGTGATCTCTTTCACTGTGTCGTTAACAACACGCTCACGAACTCTCACTTCGACTATCAAACCTTCGGTCAGGAAACTCCCCCAGCGCTGGAAACGATCGCCAACTGCCGACAAAGCCCCATTCTACAGCCGATGCAGGAGATTTCCCAAGCCCGGGCCGTTTATGAGAAAGGGCCTGAGTAAGATCAGGTATTGTGAGATTAGGCCAGCGAACATAAGGCGCCGCAAGAGCAAGAAAAAGGGGTGGGTAGACTTGACTGAGGTAGTAAGGACTGTGTGGGAGTACGAGGGTCCGGGTGAGGTCGAGCATACCATGCCGAATTTTGCGGCGGCGGCGGGGGATAGTTCGGCAAGTTCTGGGAGCACTGCTTCTGATTCTGCTGTTGCTATGGAGAGGAAGGTTGTTTCTCAGGATGACACTGAGACTAAAAGGAAGAGAAAGGAAGACGCCACAACTGCTACTGAGTCAACTGAGTCAGGACGTAGAATAGGAATGTAGGTGAGAGGATACCTCTATAGGTCCATATCGGCCGGGGACTAACGCTGCTTGAGGCTGGGAAACGAAAAACGTTACCACGCCTCGGCCACGTTTTGAAGATGCTCAAGCGAGTCGGCGGCAGAAAGACAAAGCCGCGAGTAAATGGGCAGAGAACGCCGGTGTTGAAGCGGCTAAAGAGGGTTTTGACACTGGGTCGTCAAAGGCAAAGGGCGCAGTCGACGACGGAGGAAATGAAGCAATAGGATTTAGAACAAGTGCTGCTTAGAGCGCGCCTGGAAACACAGGGCCTGAAGCAGAGGACGGCGATGGGTACTTTATATTCTATTTATATTCTATGAAGATGCTGAGACAAGCAAGCCGACAGTCGTTCGGATGCCTAGTCGTGAGCCAAACATGATGAACGCAACGAACTACTTCGGGGGGATACCGCAAACTAAAAAAAAAAAAAAAAAAAAAACTAAACGAAGAAATCACCACCCGTGGCTCAGGAAGAGAAGTTTAAACTAAACAAACTACTTCCGTAGCCACTCTGATGGCTCAGTTTATCAAAAAAAAAATTCACTCGCGAATGCTCATGATCACAAAGGGATCAATTGATACCCATTCTGAGTTATCCGCTCAAATACGTGATCAGGTGAACTTTGACATATCAAACGAAACCAGCCGATGAATCAGTGGAGGGGGTTGAAGGGACTTGGGTGATGATTGTGGGGAATAGTTAAGAAGAAGAAGAAAGGGGAACAATTGACGTTATGCAAACTGAGCGGGTGATGACTAGTTTTGTTATGGAAAGTTTCAAAGGATACGTAGTTAAGGATATCTGTGAATTGAGACAAAAGAATTGTCAAGCCGCTCGAGTTGCTCTCTTCCTGTGTAATATTGTATAAACCAACTCCCTCCCCCCCACCCCCTCCCCATACATCGCCCGTAATTGCTTACACTCCCCTATGGTAACGAACCCCTGCCGAATTACGTCAGCCTGCCAAGTCTTTGGCGAGCCCGCCTGCAGTCGCAACAGCGCTTGCCACGCTGCCCCTGTCCTGCAGTTAAGCATCATGTGCCAGCCTGGTCCGAGCTCTGCCTCAGCCAAATGTTCCCCCAACTTCCCACTCACACAATCATCAGTTCCTGGACAGAGCGAGCGACGACAGCGGCGACGGTTTCGAGAGAGGATTAACAATAGAGCGCGAGATTGATTCGCGAAGATAAAGAGGTTAGCGCGATTGCTGATTTCTATAACCCCCGACTGACCGACCCTGAGGAATCAAAGCCACTGGTTTTACCTACTGGCCAACCTATCGACGAATCGTCATCCCCGCTCTGCGATAACGCCGTCCTACTAGTAATCAACACTCAACTCCCCAGATCTCCTCATCTCTCCCCCGAAACAAAACCATAAAGTCCCTAAAAAAAAAAAACCCCCCACCAAAATGGCCAACCCTCTCGACACCGACGCCGGCACCGAGCTCTTCAAGCACTACGAAACCGAATTCCAGCTTGTCCAAGCCGACCTCTCCGCGAAACTCGACCAGCTCAGTGAACTGACCGGTGAGCCGCGCAAGGCGGCGCTGGCCGCCGCCGAGCGCGCGCTCGAGGAATCAACCGAGCTGATCGACCAGATGCAGATGGAGAAACAAAACGTGCCGTCGGCGGGTAGAGCGGCCATCAATAAGCGGATTAGGGATTACAAGACGGATGTGGATAATAAGAGGAGACGTCTGAGACAGCTGGCGGATGATAGGGCGGCGCTTTTTGGGGGACGGTATACCGATGATCCGAGGGGGTGGGGGCTGGGGGGAGCAGGGATGTGAGCTGGGAGCAGAGGCAGCAGTTGCTTGCTGGTAGGTCTCTCCCCCTTTCTTTACAATTTGTGAGGTTGGAGGATGAGAGGTTGACAGTCTGAAGGAACGGAAAGGCTGGACCGCAGCACACAGAGGCTCAAGGCAAGCCAGGCGTTGGCGGCGGAGACAGAGGCCATCGGTGCCAGCATGCTGGCGCAGCTCCAGCAGCAGCGTGAGGTCATTGCTAATACGACGAGGATCCTCTATGAGAGTGAGGGATACGTCGATCGCAGCATAAAGAGCTTGAAGGGGATCGCGCGTAGGTAAGGTCTTTTTATTCGTGCACGCACACGAGATCTGAAGCATGAATGAGAGGGGGGAAGGGGGCAGGGGGAAGTGAGTGAGTGGGTGCTGATGTCTGTAAACAGGATGGCTACGAATCGGTTGATTACCATCGCTATCATCACCGTGCTGGTGCTGTTGATTATTGCGGTTATTTTCAGCAAGTTCCGGTAAGGATTAGGAGTCATTTGGGGTACAGGGGTACAGGAAGAGGGAGGGGGGGGGTGGGTTTTTTTTTGTTGTTGTTGTTGTGGTTGTTGTTGTTGTCGGGAGGGGGGAAGGGAGGGAATGAGTGAGAGGATGGTGTTGTCGTCTTCTGGTTCCTTGGACTCGTTCGTTGGGGAGACTTAGATACGGAGTTTCGGATATTCATTTCTTTGGTCATAGCCGTGTTTGTATGGGACTTTTGTGGGAGCGCTTCTAAAGTACTTGAAGTGGTCTATCACGTCACTCAGCATCATGTATTGTTGACGACCGTGTAACTTTGATATTCCCATCTCATCAAATTCGACTTTCACCTCTCATCTCTTCTCAATGGAGATTTCACGGATCGCGACCCCACTTTCCATGTACTTTACGACCGATACAAAGAATTTCGTAACAGTGCGATGCCAAGGCTTACTGTATCCGGAGCAACGGCCCATGCAGGTTCCCAGCGCAGCCATTGTGCAAAGTCGCAACCATCATTCATTCAACATCGCATCCAACATCCCTACCGACCTTTTCATGACGCAACACTCACCAACCGAATCCCATAACGCAAATCCTCACCGATGATGAAGTAAACCGACGATGCGCCTTACTAACCATGGCCGAACCCCCGACTAAACGCCCGCGTCTCGCCGGCCCAACCTCCAAGCCCAAATCCTCCAAACCCAAATCCACCCCGAAAACCCCATCCTTCCTCTACCCTGACTCCTCCTCCGATCCAGAAGAAGACGAGCTCCTTTCGCGTCCAGAGGAAATCAATGCGCGCCGGGACCCCAACCTGCGACTGGAACGCTCCCGTGCCGCGGCTGCGCTACGACTGAAATCGGCGTTCGAACGCATCTTTGAGAAGTATGGCCGCGACTTCACGGGGGAGGCAGACGAGATTTGTTTGAGCACAGGGGAAAATTGTTGTGGATAATGGGCACGTTGCTAGGATTATTGCGGGGAGAAGAGGAGGAGGAGGAGGAGGAGGAGGAGGAGGATGACGAGGGCAGTGAGGAGGAGGGAGAGCAGGCAAAGAAGGGAAATAAAGGAAATAAAGGAAATAAAGGAAATAAAGGGAATGAAGGGATAGGAAGGGAGTTTGGTTTTGCGATGGCTCCCCCGCTAACGGGGACATACTGGAACCCCCCCGGGCTCCCCTTCCCCTCTGTGAACCCCTTCGCCGGCTATCCCCCTCTTTACGTACCGCCGCCTCCGATCCCAGCAGCGAGTGACCCCCGCTGGCAAGCGCCTGAGCTACCCGTTCTTCCGCCACGACCTTCTGGGATGGGGGCACCTGTCGCGACGCCAGCGCCGGTGATAAAGAAGAAGCCGGCCAGAGTGTCACTTTCGTCTGTCAGGGAACATGCTGGTGACGTGGGAGATGAGGAGGATGATCTCGCCGAGCTAGATGGCCCTGGGGCTGGGGCTGTTGGGGAAAGTACTCCGGCAACGGCGGCGAAGAAGAAACCCCTCGTGCTAAAAGCCCGTACCCCTCAGAATGAGGCAGGGAAGAAGAGGGCTTCGGGCGGGAGTGTTGGGAAGAAGGGCCCCGCGAAAGCTTCCGAAAAGGAGGAGACACCTTCAAAGGCGGGGACGGCTGCCGGAAAGGTGGCTACAGGGAAGACACTGGATGAGGGAAAGAGGAAGAAGATTCCTGGCCGGCCGAAGAAGGCGACTCTGAAGGCAGAGAAGGGTGCAAAGAGGAAAACCGTTAGGCGTTCCTCTTCCAAAAAACGTGTGGGAGAGGAGACGGGAGACGCAGACCGTGCCGCCTTATGGGAACTTACGCCGTCGAAAGCGAACTCGCTTTCCCATCAGACGACGACTGCCCCTGGCAGTAGGGAGAAGCAGGCTGCCCAGGAGGATACATCAGGGGACGTCATAGTTATTGAGGATGGGGATGCGGCGGGTATTATGAGGCCACGGAGTCGGAGCTTGCGGATGGTTCAGATTGAGATCCCGCTATACACTGTCCGCGCTTTTGATCAGCATACTTCGGGGCCAGCTGCACAAGAGACAGAAAAAGAGCCACATGAGGACGTACATGAGACTCGAGATGATGAGGCGGGCAACGAAGAGGAAGATGAAGCATCTTTCCATGGGAGTTTTGAAGTTGCTGGAGAGGCCGAAAATACTCAATCTACGGCCGAGTCTGAAGAGGATCATCAACCTACCACCGAATCTGAACCAGATCCCGTGCCTGATGAAGCGGCAACTGATCGAAACGATGCTCAATCCACGCCCGAAACAGATAGCCATCCCATCGTCGAACCCAACATTGTTCAATTTACCATCGAACTGGGGCCTGCCCGTCACACACCCGAACGCGAAGATACAGCCAGACTTTCTCCGGAGCCAGAACAGCCTAAATCCAACCAACCCGGACACGAGCTCCCCCCTGCCTCAGAGCAATCCGCACTCGAGCCCAAACCCGAGCAATCCGAATCAACACCAGCCCCAGCCCCAATAGAAATATTTACCCCAAACACCATCGACCCGGCATACAACTTCTCCGACGAAGATGAGCCTGCCCTGCCGCGGCACAGGACTTTATTGGCGAAGAGGCCCGTTAGGATCAGGACACCGAAGAAGAAGGTAGATAATAAGAGTGAGAGTGCTACTTGGTTGTTAAGAGCACGGCCAAGGTCTGGATTACGGGGAGTGTCGGATGAGGATTTGGGTGAGGATGAGGAGAGGGAGAGGGAGAGGGAGAGGGAGAGGGAG